CTACAGGCCACACACTCGACCATTGTTCACTCACACTGGATTAGTGTTGGCAAAAAAACTCGTCCCGCCCCTCTTGGCAGGGCCTGCCTCGAATGGGGCAAAAAAAAAATCCTCCCCGACTGGTTGGCAGGGCGGGGCAGGGATTGTTGCCCCGTGAAAAATAATTTTTTTTTATTTTTTTATATTGTTTGTTTCGAGTGTATGCTTTGGATATTGATATAGTTAGTTTGAGCATTATTTACTTTGTTTTTTAAAATTTTGAATTTGTATTTTAACTGAAAATTTTTGAAAAAAAAAGGGGTAGGCCTGCGCCATGCACTCTCTCTAGACAAGGCAAGGCAGGGAGGGGGAGTGGCCCACCCCGAACCCGCTGCCATCTCTACACTGAATGACACCAAGTCGCCACCGTCACTCATCAAGCCACCAACCATCTTCTGGCTAATTATTACTGCAGTGGACAACAAAGGCAAATTTGGCATTGAAGCCATAAATTAGGTTTGAGGAGATATTTATTGATTGTACAAAAAATCTATTTTACTACATTCTTTAAGTGAGCTATTTATTAATCTACTGCATCGTTTATAGTTGGTGGGTAACTTTTCTTATGAGATAAAATAAACGGTTTGTTAAGGAAGAGAAATGGATTTTTCCATTTTCATTTTCTTATTTTTCATAGTATTTTCTCTTTTTCTTTTTACTTTCTTTATTTCTTATTTTAATTCATAATCATTTTAGGATACCAAACTACGGCTAAACTAATGTTTTCAATTCAAAACGAAACCCATGTGCAAAAGTTTTGATATTACACACATACGATGCAAGAATCAAAGGTTTGCGACCTCAATGTCACAAGGTCATAAGGTGTGAGACCCCAGGTGAGATTTTCCCAAAATTTTACATCAAATTTAATTCTAAAGTTTATTAGCCCAATTTGGTGATGGTTGAAATCAGATTTTGTAAATTTTGAAAAAAGTTGTGATTGAGAAATTGTTATCCCTTGAAATGCGTGATTCAAATTATTTGTTAAATTTGACTTAAATTAAAATCTAAATTTTAATTTCCACCAATCAAGGAAATTCTTATGACACGTAATATTCTATCATTGATGAATGATTTAAAACACAATCACCTCCCATCACATACCTTTCTCTCACTGCTTCTGAACGTTTTCTTCTGATAAAGTGGCATTTCCCCACTCCCAAATAGAGTGTGGTATATAATTATATATTTGTTAAAAATTAAAAAAAAATAGACATTTCTTTTATATGAAATAATTGATGGTTAAAAGAATAATCCCACTGGCACATGCTCCTCGCATGGCTCACGCAAAAAACTCTCCTCACTTCACTTGCTCGTAATCTGCTTGTGTAACTTCTCTTTTCTAGTTCTTCCAACCAGCCAATTTCATGATACCTATTGACATCGTAACCCCACACTATATAAATATAGAGGTAAGCCATTCACATCACATAGAAGGCAAAACACACTTTTAACGTAGCCCTTGCGCAATTCTGCATCGAACTCTAGAAGCACTCAATTTTCACAACACATATATAATCTGCTTATGAATTTGGAAGAACGAGCATCTAAGAAGATGGC